TCTCCTTCCATATCAGGAGGAGTTGGACTTGCTTTCTTCAAAGCCTCTTTCAAATACAAAATTATATCATTTCCAAATGCTTAAGAGCATATAGGACATTCATGTCCCTAATTTATTTTTAGAAAAATCTGAACTGGGTCAATCAAGTGCTTATGAACTTTTACTGCTTAGATAAAATGTTTTAACCCTCTTAATGCATTCTTAATTATGTATATATTTTTAATGTACAAATATTCCCTGAGTGAATTATCTACTTAGGGATTTATTTTTATTGACCCCCATGGTCTCTTGGTCTCGTTGAGTGTGTCTAATTATACTAAAAAACTAAATTTAAATTATTTTATATGTAACCCATTCTCCTCTGTTCCATTAGCATGGATAATCAAGAATTCATGGCATTATGGATTTTTAAATGTCAGAGATTGTAAAGCTGTCTTGCCTATTATAGTAAAAACTTCATTAAGGGCTATCATGTATTCCAAGTGATGTGTAATTCAAAGCAGCTGCACACCCACCTCCCCCTCTCCAGATGTACTATTGTCTTTTGAATAAAAACGTCAGCTAATCTAAGTATTCTTTAATTTTAAGCCTAGCTTCTAGGTGCCAGGAATTTTTAGGTAACTATGTTTTAATAAAGTTATTATGTCTCCTTGCCATGAAACCCATAAAAAATGGTGCTTTCCCATGGGCCCATGTGTTTTACAGGAATGGCTCTATTCAGCCTTTAATTATGTCTTTCCTAAAGCCTTATATTTTAGCCTTGTACTTCAGAAACACATCAAATTCTATTTTTTATTTTTAAATATTTTGGGTCATAGTAGGAAAGACTCCCCTTTATCATTTTTGGGTCTGGAATACCTCAATTTTCTTTTATCTATAAAGTTGGTGTGATTTTTTAAAAAGGTGACACATATCCCTGAAATGCATGTTTTTTTGTACTTACATGTCATAAATTAAAATAATGACAGTTTCCTAATAATAACACACATGCTTTAATTGCTATTCCCAAAGAGGTTAAATTTATGATGAAGAGAAAATAAGATTAAGTGTCTGTGGGAATAATGAGAAACTAATGGACACGGAGTATGCATCTTTAAAGATCAAGTCAGGAGCAGACCTCGTGTAAACTATTCTTCTTTTATTACATAGTAGCCAAGGACAACTTAAGCTACGATTAAAATAAGAGCTGATTTCAGATCCCTCTTGTTTTCCTTTAAGATGGTGTGTTTTTTTAAGCTGAACTTCTCTGTCATCAATAATTTTGTGAATTACCTTTTACAAAGGAAAGATAAAACCTTTCTTTCTGTAAACCCTTGCACACAAAAAGACTTATGCATGTTCCAAACTTAACGGTTTTGGCACACCAACTGCATAGCACTGAGGCAGGAGAAAAGAGTTGGCAGAAAGTGTATTTAGGATGAATGCCACCCACCATCAAGTAATGGTTTAAGTAGAAAGTAATCAGAGGGAGACCACAGCAGCTAAATTTCAACCAAAGATATTCTAGGTTTAGAACAATAAATAATTGTAATCAGGTATGTTCCAAGTAGCAAATAGGGCTCTAAGGCTATAACTCAGCCTGAATAAGCACTTGGAAAGTCTGCCGAATCAGCAGCTATTCCATATAAACAGCATACCACCTGACCTTCCATTAAAATCTGGAACACCGTTGGTATAGAGAAGCCCATATGTTGTGAAATCTAAATACCATGTACTAAAAAACATATCTAATTTATTAATGCAGACAGCATTTTTCTCCTATATCAGAACGTACGATGAAGAGTCATAAGATGAAGGGTGTTACGGAAATGCTGATGTGGATAAAGGAGAGGGGCACGCATGAAAGCCTTAGCACCTTCCTGGAGTCCTGCCTTATTAGAGCCAGAACTGCCTTATAATAAGGTCCTTTTACTGTGTTAGTAACTAAACACTCTTGGAAGGGGTCCAACCTGAACCACCTCTCCAGGAGTCTCCAATGCAGTAACATGACACTTGAGCTTCCACGAAAACCAGTGTCCACATTTGATGAATAAGTCATTAAGACGGTCTCTAGGATGCTAAAGGGATTACTTTTCTTATCAGGGCACGCAGCCTTGTATATATGCTCCATGCTGCAATTCATCATTTCAAGGGAACTTCTGGCCTCCGTATCAGAGTTTATCATTTGATGGTGTAAGACTACAGTGAGGCTGATAAGGGACACTTTGAAATTATCATGCATGAAAAGAGTCGAAGCCAAAAAGCATATGGAGTCTGGGTTGTTCATCTCCTTATCCATCTCCCGCTCAAGGTTCACTCAGCCTAAAACCAGCATACAGAAATTATGCAATAGGTGTGAATGAGACAACCTCACATTCCACCTCCAAATCTTGTGATTCATACTAAAAGTCAAACTTGATACAAAAAATGGCATTCATCTCTTGGGTGCTTCCGTTACTCCCTGGGAATATTACCAAAGAAAATGATTATCAAGGTAAGAGTGATCTGAGTATTCTCGTGCCTCCACCTGCCTTGCCCACCTAATCTCCTTCCAATTCTTGTTGCTCCCACATGGCTCCTGAACTGAGCTCTGCCCTCAGACCTGCGCTGAAGTCCACAGCCTTCCCTGGTGTGGTCAGCTGTCACGTGGCTGGTGTGCTGTGGATAGACCAGGGCAGCTTTCTGTTTGCTTGGCAGAGGCCAGCCCCTTACGGAGTATGCTCGTGGCTCGAAGAAGAAAGTGAAATCTGGTTCAGCTCAGGCTCTAGCTAAAGTCTTCTGCATTAGAAAGCATAACTCACATTTATTGTAAATGTCATCGTGCCTATGAGCTCCAGAGTGTATTTACAGTGTCAGCCGAGGGCTTCCCTTGATGGATGCTTTGGTTTTCCTTTTTTCCAGGAGTCCCACATATCAAAGCTCTGGGAGATTTCCTTCTAGTGATTCTGACAGACCTGATAGAGCATGAGGCATTGCCTCCTTACTTGAAGATTCCTGGCTATTTTTCAAGGTTCACTGAAGACAGGCTTTGCCGTTACGTCTCCCTTTATCATGAAAGCAGTGAACAAAAAAGCCTGGTGCTGTCCTCAAAGACCATCCACCGAGTTAATGTCCAGGAAACTTTCCCTCAAGCTGTTAGCACGGGAGAGGCAGGCTGTTAGCATAAGTTATTCCCTTCACCACGGGGGCCAGGAGAAACCCTGTTAAGCCACGAATTTCAGTCCACAGCGATCTGTGTGCTGAAAAATGGGATGAGCAGACTTTCATCAGCAGATTCCAAGCGGTGTTTACACCCACGGCTGCTTCTCCCACCCCCACTTCTCCCTGGGCGATGGTACAGCCCTGTTTGCCCAGATGGGTTTGAAGGAATAGAAACACCCCAGCACCTGGCTTAGGTTGTGTGTTTGCCACCAAGGGACTATCAAGTAAGAAGTGTCAACTATAGTAACACAGAGGACTGGAGTGAAGAGGGGGCCAGGTCTGGAGAGGCGGCTGTCTAAAGGACTTGTGGAAGGCGTCTAGTTCAAGTGTGACTGTTCTCCCCGGTGCCCCGCGGTTGGCATAAAATGACCTCTGCCTCTAGGTAAACACGGCTAGAGCCCAGTCCAAGGGAATTTCCGCTGACCGACTTAAGAAACATCAACATAAGTACCCCGGAGGTGATCCAGCCACCGAGGGCAAGAGGGCTCCCTGGGCATGGGGTAGCCCCTTTCTATCGCACGCAGTTGCTCCAGCCGGCCCCCTCCGCTGCTCCCAGCCCCCCCTTCTCTCCACTTCTCCCTCTCAATTGAGACTAAACCTGGGCTCCCTCGCTGGCGAAATGTGGGGTGTGATGGAAGGAGGGCTTGAAGGGCAGTTGCGGAGGGTGAGGGAAGGTCTCTAGGGCACACGAAGGGGCGGTAATGGGTGTGCGGGGGGAGACCTGGGAAGGGACAGCCGAAAGGGGGCGG